GGGAAATCGGGAAAAAATAGCAAAAAAAATCGAAAAAACATGAAAAAATTTTTTAGCCAAAAAAATGCAAATTCGCTCCAGTGAACTCTTTAAAAAATTGCTTTTTGAAATTTCGCAAAAAAGGGTCCAGTAGAGCGAATTTGCATTTTTAAAAAAAGGAAATAGTTTAAAAAATTGCAAATTCGCTCCAGTGAACTCAAAAATCAGAATTTTCGAATTTTCAAAAAACAAAGTCCAGTAGAGCGAATTTGAATTTTTTTTTAAAGAGAAATTTGTACAAATCGGGTAGGAAGGGTAGAAAATTTGAAAAATGTGCGGATTTTTCGAAAAATCCGAAAACTTCGAAAAATCGATTTTTAGCTCAAAATTCGACAGAAAATCCGCACATTTTTGAGCATCTCCAAGGGTCAAAATTCACGGGAAAAATCGAAAAATGGGTCAAAAAACTACACAAAAAAAATCATTTTTTCAAAGATTTAGTTCGCGATAACCGGCGATTTCGACGCCGAAACCGCATTCAACTGTAACGCCGTCGTTGATGACGTCACCGGCTCATCTGGAGATATTCCATGTGCCGTGAGGAGCTTCCGAAGATGTCGATTCTCCGATTCTTTGGTCCCAAGCTCGCGGGTCAGCTCCTGCGTGTCCTGATCTCGCTCCAGCAGTTCGGCGGCGAGCTGAAAAATTTGAAAATCGAATTTTTGTAAAAAGGGGGGTGGAGCTTCATAAATAGACGGAGTAAACGCGCTTCATCTCATTTTTCGGGGATCTTTCTGTATGTAATGTGCGATGGAGCGCGTTTGAAGAGAAATTGAGAGCGGGAAATTCAAGAAAATGAGAGAAAAAAAGGGAAAAAAATTAAGGAGAGCGTGCTATGTCAGATCTTAAATTAGCTACGCGGATGGAAAAATCAATAATTTGGGTAGAAGATGAGCACGCCGTCTGAATTCTGAAGTTGTCTCTCTCTCTCTCGTCTCTTGAAGGGACGTCTGTCTGTGTGTCTGTTTGTCTCCCGACCTCTCTCCACGTCATCACACAGACTCTATAATGAATCGAACAATGAATTCTTGTGGCATTAATTTCAGATTTTTTGAAACCTTTAGAACTTACCTGACCCAATTTTATTTTTTTGATTTTTTGAGATTTAAAAAACAAGGAATACGGTAGAATTTTTGAAATTGTCGGCTGAAAATCCAGTAAATTCTACCGTAATCCTTAGAAAATCTGAGCAAATTTCCATGGATTTTGAGGTTAAAAAACAAGGAAAAATAGCGAGGAATGCGATGGCCTAGAAATCCAAAAAAGTTCGGCCACCGAATTTTTTCTCAAATTTCCTGGAAATTCGGTTTTTCGAGGTTTCCTGTCATCTTCATGGATTTTCAGCGCCAAAAAACCCCCGAAACAATGCGTTTTTGAGCCAAAAAACCGAAAAAATTTACGGTGGCCTAGAAATCCAAAAAGTTAGGCCACCTCAATTTTCGGTCATTTTTCACCGAAAATACTATTTTTCAATGTTTCCTGGCCTTTTTATAAGTCTAGAACGCCGAAAAATACCATTTTGAGCGAAAAAACCTTGAAAATGAAGGTGGCCTAGAAATCCAAAAAGTTCGGCCACCGGATTTCTTGCATTTTCCTCTAGAAAATCGAATTTGCAGGGTTTCTTGACTCTATTATTCTTGCTACGTGCCTAAAAAACCCGAAAACCTCGAATTTTGACGGTGGCCTAGAAATCCGAAAAGTTCGGCCACCGGATTTTTTCTCATTTTTCATCGGTTTTTGGCCATTTTCCATCGAAAAAGTCGATTTTTCAAGGTTTCCAGGTCCAAATTTCGCGTTTCAAGCCTCAAAATCCATTTAAAAAAACCCGAAAACTCGCTAAAATCGTTTATTTTCCTGAAAATTCCAACACAAACCTGAGATTTCGTCATACTCTGAATTCTCTCCCGCTTCGACGCCTGATAATCCGACTCGAATTCCCGCTCCATTTCCCTATCGGCGGCGGCTTCCGATTCATCCGAACAGCAGCTTGTCGACACCGATTCCACGTCTTCATGGTCTTCTAAAGCTACCGTAGTCGTTGTCGCCGGTTCTACAGTACACCAGTACGCTGGACGCATGTGGTCATAGGATCCGGACATGGTGCGGACACGTCGGCGTTCCGATGCCTCGAATTTTTGCTCGATCTGCAAAAAAAATTTTTTCGAACTTTTTACAATTTTTGGGCATTTTTGGAGCCTAAACCCGTTTTCAGGGGGATTTTCAGACGAAAATCAGTTTAAAAGACGAAATTTGAGCCCGGAAACCTTGAAAAATCGCGTTTTTCGATGAAAACTGAGAAAAAATACGGTGGCCGACTTTTTGGATTTCTAGGCCACCACCAATTTTTTCAGTTTTCAGCTAAAAATGGCATTTTCGGTTTTTTTTTTGGCACAAAATACGACTAAACAGCTCAGAGAATGCTGAAAAATCGATTTTTCGAAAAAAAAAAACCGAAATTTTGAAAAAAAAATGGGTGGCCGAACTATTCGGTTTTCTAGGCCACCGCCAATTTTGACGAAATTAGGGATTAAAAGTGTCATTTTCGGCGTTTTTTCAACTCAGAACGAGTATTGTCTCGGAAAATGACTGAAAAAGAGGTACTGTAGTCTGCGCGGCGGGACCCAAAAACTCAAAAAAATGGCTGAAATTCTGAAAAAAAAATCCGGTGGCCGATTTTTTTGGATTTCTAGGCCACCGCCAATTTTCCCGTTTTTCAGTTAAAAACTGACATTTTTCGGTGTTTTTTTTTGGCTCGAAAAGTGCGTTTCCTCGAAAATTCACTGAAAATTGATTACTGTAGTTTTCGCGGCGGGACCCAAAAATGCCACGTTTCTCAAAAAATCCAAAAATTCCAATTTTCTGGTCACATGAGCTGGGCGCGCGCGCCTCTTCTCCCGAAACTCCGCCCCCTTTTAGAGAGGGTGAGACGAAGAGACGCAGAGAAACATCGGAAAAATCAGATTTTCGTCGACTTTTGCCGGTTGTTTTGGACCTTTTTCAGATTTTTCGGGCATACAGGGCTCAAAATAGGTCTAGATTGATTTACAGTAATTTTGAAGGATTTTGAAAAATTTCAAAATTTTCGAAAAAAAATTTTTTTTTCAAAATTTTTATCGATTTTCTGAAATTTTGAAAAATCTGAAATTCCCGCTGGAAGAAGTAGAAGTCGTTGTCGCTAACCTCGTACTCAGCGTCGGCTCTCGCTTCACGATCATCTAGAAGGAACTGGGTGGAGTTGGGTGGCGCCATACCGTATCTGAAAATGGACCAAAACTAGGAGAAATTATTTTATAGGCCGAAAATTTTGAATTTTTCGGATTCTAAAAAGCCAACGAAGCGGAAAAATCCAGAGAAAAAACTACCTACCTGTCTTGCTTATCAGCTTTTCTGTTCTTCTTATCGACTTTCTGCTCGGCGTCTGGCGAATACGGCCGGTAACGACCGCCACGCTTTCGACGGCTTCTACGAAGACGTCGTTCGCCATCCGACTCGCCGTCAGACACCGATCTAGCAGATAGCTCGAAGTTATCAGAAGAAGATTCAGCAGCCATTTCAAGGCAAAAATAAAAAGACAGAATGATGAACACGAAGACTGTGTAGAAGAAGACAGAGAAGAACCCCGAAGAACGCCCTTCTGTGCTTTTTTATACTTCGGATTCTACCGTAATACGAGCACTCTTGTCGTTGTGTCTAAACGAAACTCTGCGTCTATATAGACACGCGCGCTCTCTCGCTGTGTGTTGTTCAGTGCACCCGCCTGTGTGACAGATCCACTGCAAACTAGAGAAGAATGAACTGAACCGCGCCGCCTTTTATACTACGCGCGACCGCGACGCGCGGGTGTTTACGCACACGCGACGCCGCCCACTGTTGACTGAGAGCGCGCACCACGTTTGTTCTCCTTGTTAGACTTTCTTACCCCGGTTCGAGGTTTAGGATTTTTACATCACCAGGAAGTGCAAAGAGCCAGTAACACTTCGAATATAAACACAAATTTCAGCAGTCAGTTTTCGAAATTTCGAAAATCCACCCCTCGACGCCCGTCCATTTGTCAGTTCTTTTCGGTGGATTCCTCGATTTCTCTGGAAAATTGCTGGAAAATTATCTGAAATTTGTCTGAAATTCACATCCCTATCACCACTAACACATCTTCATCTCTGAATGCCTAAAATCTCTCGAAAATCCTGGAAAAAATATTGAAAAACGTGAAAAATCAAAAATTAATGAATTTTCTCTGATTTTCTAGGACGCTAGACCTTTTTATCGGAATTTCGGCATAAAATGGGGAATTTTAAGCAAGAATTCATTTAAAGAATTTGAAAATTCTTGAAAAATAGCCGGAATCAAAAAAATCGGAAATTTATGAATTTTTATCGGTTTTTCTGGGAAATTCGGGTCGCCAGGGCTTTCTAATTGGAGTTTAAGCATAAAATAAAGGGATTTTCAGGATAAAAGTCGTAAAAATTGATTTTTGCCGAATTTCTCTGGATAATCTGAGTTTTCTAGGCTCTCAGCGGTATTTTTAGGTTACAAATATCGTTTGAATCGTAAATTTGCCATATTTTTAGTTTCTGAAGAGAAAAATGACGGGAAATTGGCTTTAAGCTGTTTTCCATTAAAAAAAATAAGCCCTGAAGCGGGATTTGAACGCTTAAAATTGGAATTTTCTGTAATTTATGAGGGGTCGAATCGAGAAAAACCCATTTTTTAGCGAAAAATTCTGGAAGTATATCCCTCTTTGACATATTATCGATTTTGAAGCCTTTTTCCAGCAAAATATCCCTGACATTAGGCACAAAACTAAATGAAAATTGGGCATTTTCCTCCTGAAATCGGGCTAAAAATGGGCTGAAAATAGATTTTCTTGTTTTTTTTTCTGAAAAAAAATGCATTTGCACTTTCTCCTCAAAAACAAAAATTGCTTCTTTTTCTCTGAAAAAACCTAGCCAAGTAATTCAATTTGTGTTCTCCGTCCCATCCTCCCACACATTTGTTTTCTGAGTGCAATTACAAATTTTCGACCAATTCTGAAATTTTTTACTATCTTTTGCACAGTCCTCCTAACCTGAAAGAGATGATTCACCTATGTGTCGTTGTCCGTATTTTAAACAAAAAAAACTATTATTTGTTGTAAAAAACGGGACAAAATGGATCGATCCATCCGGGAAAGGGGAGAATTTTTCAGTTCAGTGCTTTCGCATCTCCATTATACTCTTTTTCCAAAAAGGAAGTTGTTATGTTCCTAGCGCTCACGGGTTCCCTCTTTTTTTTGTTTTGTGAAACACAAAATGTGCCTTTATGGTAGTGATAACGAACACACACACAGAGTGATTGTTTAGCAGAGTGAGAAATCGTAATCGAATAGAAAAAAACATAATAATATTTTCTTCTGTCCGAAAGATAGATTTTTTTTTGAAACAATTGAGGGGCTCTGGTGGGGTGTGGCAGATTTAAAAATAACGTTTCTACAAGGGTAAAGAGCTGGAAAGCAGGGTTAGAAGGGATCTGGAGCAGCTCAATGCTCGGCATTCGATCAGACGGTTTTGGAGCGTCTAGAAAGGTCGAAAAGGGTTTCGGGAGCTTTTTGGAGCCAAAAAAAAGGGGGGGGGCAGATTTGGACCTTTTTAGAGCTGAAAGGTTCAAAATTCGGTTCTAGTCGTTTTCCGAAGGGTTTTTGGAACCTAAAACGATCTAGAAGTATCTAGAAGGATCTTGGCTAAGAATTGGGTCTTGTTATGGCCAACATCCTCGTGTTTTGGGTCTTATTAAAGCTTAAGGACTTTAACACTTGGTTTCAACTAGTTCTCAGAGGGTTTTTTGGGGACCCTGTACTTGTCTGGAAGGGTCTTTTTGGAGCCAAATACCTTGAGATTCGGGTCTTTTGAAGCTCGGAAATTTGAACCTTCAATGAGATCAGAAGGCAGATTCGGGTCTTGTTTAGTCAATTTCCAGAGTGTTTTAGCGACAAAAAATGGGGGTTTTTTGAAGTTTGGAATTGTCCAGAAGAGTTTTGGCCGTGAATCGGACTTTTCGAGCCAAAATTCAAGAGATTCGGGTCTTCAGGACTTCGAATTTGATTCCAGCCGGTTTCCGGACGGGTTTGACAACTGGAGTGGTCTAGAATAGTATTATCCGAGAATTGGGCATTTTTGGAAACAAAATCCAATGGATCTCGGTCTTTGGTGACTCCAAACTTCCAAAATTTCCAAAATTTCCAATTTTCATGTTTCAAACTTGAAAACTCGACTTCCGCTGAAACATCGCTGTTTTTGGGACTTGAACTATTGAATTTCCGGTCTATCGACTCTATGTTCAGTCCAGATCCCTGGCCAATTCCAGCTAATCCCTGGATCTTTGGTCCGAACTTCTTTTCCACGACTAAAAAAAAGTCAAATCCCTCTCTCGCCCATTTTCCATATCCAGTCAGCAGGTCAATAATTTTGGGGAGGTCTTTTCTCTCTGCGTCTCTCTTCCCTCTTTTTTCCATCTCGGCCAACCGCCTGTTTTCGCCCGCTGCGCGCGAGCGAGCGCGCTACTCGACGAAATAGTGTTGAAAATGAAGAGAGATCAGATTCTCTGTGTCTCTTTTGCTGTGTTGAAGCATGGAATATTCTGTGCGGCGGAGGGATGGAGGAGGAGGACGTGGGGACGCCTCTGCTGCTGCTGCTGCTGGCTGTGAGTGTTTTGTGTGAGTGTTGGAACGAAATACACTCACACAAACACGGAAAGAAGCAGAGGAAGCAGTAGCCCCCCAACTAATAATAAAACGAGAGACCCAAGGACCCCTAGAAAAAGGCACAGCCAGTTTGGAAAATGGGAAGCAAAAAAGAAGCAAGTGGATGAAAATCAAAGTTCAGAATACAGGGATGGGAGAGTCATTGGAAGGTTCCGGGATCCTATGGAGAGCTTGGATGTTCTAGAAGTTTCTAAAAATTTGCTAATCTAAGAATCTTATAAAAGTCGGGACTTCCTGAGGCTTCTTCTGAAGCTCTGAAGCTCTCTAAAGCGTTCTGAAGTTCCCTGGAAACGCTTTCTGGAAGGTTCTGGGTTCTATCATAGATATGGAGAGCTTCTTTAAGTTTCTAGAAACTTTCCTTATCCAGAAAACCTTGAAAAGTCCAGAATTTCTAGTAGTCTTGACTTCTGAATCTCGGAAACTTTTTCTGCAACTTTGAAGCTCTCTGAAGCTCTGAGGTTCTTCTGACGCTTCCTGGAGCTTTCTGGAGCTCTGAATCTTTCTGAGGCTTCCAGAAGCTTCCTGACGCTCTGTGCAGCCTTCTGGAGTCTTCTAGAGCTTTCTGAAGCTCTCTAAAACTTTTTCTGAAGCCCATGAGGTTCTTCTGACGCTTCCTGGAGCTTTCTGGAGCTCTGAATCTTTCTGAGGCTTCCAGAAGCTTCCTGACGCTCTGTGCAGCCTTCTGGAGTCTTCTAGAGCTTTCTGAAGCTTCTTCTGAAGCCCATGAGGTTCTTCTGACGCTTCATGGAGCTTTCTAGAGCTTTCTGAAGCTTCTTGGAGCTTCTTCTAGAGCTTTCTGAAGCATTCTAAATCTTTATGAAGCATTTTAAAGCTTTGAAGCGCTTCCTGCAGATTCTTCTCAAGCTCCGAAGCATGGTAAGGCTTTCTAGAGCTTTCTGAATCTTTCTGGAGCTTTCCGAGGTTTTCTGAAGCTCTCTCGCGCTTTACAGAGCTTTCTGGCGCTTTCTGAAGCTTCCTGGAGCTTCCTGTAGCTATCCGAGGCTCACTGAATTTTCTGGAGCTTCCAAATCAGTCATTTTTGGCATTCCAATCTTCTAAATCTCTTTGAAATCTACCAAGTGCGATCTAGAATCTTTTGATTCGTCTAATCAACTCTGATCAACTTATCTTTAGGTACAAACTGTCCACTAGCTTTCGGCCTGTCAATCTCCTTATCTTCTGACCCTCCTGCCAATCCCAATTCCGAATTTTGCGGTTTTTCCAATTCTTCTGTCCATCACTTTTAATATTTTTTGCAAGTTGGTGTACTTTAGATGCCAATCTCTCTCCTCTCTGCCCAATCCGATAGACATCTAGTCGAAATTTGTTTGGTTCGTTTCGTAGAATAGAGAAAAAGTTAAACTTTTGGTTGTTGATGTTCCTGTTATAGGGCACGAACACAGTTTTGAAGAAAAAAGAAGACTACAAGTTAGTATCTTATCGGGTGGAGGCGGAGGAAAGTGAAAGTTTTTATTTCATTTTTGCTGATTTTTTGACTCAAAAATCACGTATTTTTGGGGGGTCAACTTTGAGCCCATTTATCTTGGTTCCTGTGAAAGATATGAAAAAGTAATCAACAGATAAAATGCTTATCATATCAGCAACATTTTGTTATCGGACCATTTTTTGATATATTTTGCAGGAAATGAGATATATGGGCTCAAAGTTGATGATTCGGGTTTCACTCTATCAGCGGGGATTACGGTATATTCGGTCTAGATGGTCTTGAAGCCCTGGAAATTCAGAATCCAAAGGATGATCTAGGAGAACAGAATCTAGGTCCTAAGATCATGGCACCGCTAGAATTCATTTTGG